TGCAAAAGTAAGCTAGGTTGACCACTGTCTTAACTTACATTTACAGGATTTTATTAAGGAACAGTTCATATTCCACTCAGACCCCTGATAGAGCTATGTAACTTCCCAAATGGTCTCACTGTCAGCAGGAGGGGGACCTAGCAGTCACATCCCAGATAGCAGGACATAGTTACCTTGGGGACTGATATGGCCAAGCACCTGCCTAGTGCTCCCCAGCTTTTCTTCTGTTTTCCCTTCACTTTTAGGTTTTTCTGTCCCGCCACTAGGTGGAGCCCACATCCAATCCATGTGTAGCCTTTCCCCTTCTCAGTCAGACCCAGTCTGAAGTAAAAGGAAAGGCCTGTACATCCTCAGGAAGAGGGGTATTTGCATGGAACCATTCTGCACTTAGAATCCCAGAGACAGATAAGAAAGGGTTCCCAGCTATAGTCAGTTCATTGGACTCAGAAAGCTAAATTTGGGTGTCTTCACCATGAATTGGGCTCATGACGTGCTATTCATGCGTTGCTGGATTCTCTCAGGGAATAAATCAGATGGTTTAGAATGGCATGATCTTCCTAGGTAGGCAACTGTGGAAGGTATTGTAGTTTCAGTAGGAAAGATAGTAGAGCTGTAGAGAAGAAAGGAGAAAAAGCAGGGAAAAGAAAGGAACAGTGTGGAGGGAAGGAAAGACTTAAAAACTAAAATTGAGTGAATGGAGGGCTTAGTTATGACTGTGGAATGAGTCCAGCTGTAGAGAGCAGGAGCTAAGGTTGAAGACCAGGAGCTGAAGAAGATATTCTCTGTACCTATTGGCAGTGGTAAAATTCATTTTAGAGAGATAATGTTGCAGAGACAAAGGCCTTTCCCTGAATTGTCCATGCTGATAAATTCAGCGGTGTGGTGAATGTATGCTAAGAGATGGTCTGCAGAATTCGTTTGGCTTGAGGAGGGACATTATTTTGAGTCAGCACTATGATGAGCACTATGCAGTGGGAAACATGTCAGAGGTGGGGTCACTTCCTCAGCCAGGGTCTCCACAGAGGAGGAGGGAGGTTGCTGTTGGTGTGTAGAGGAATGGAGAGGCACAGCTGCAGCACCTGCCACAAGCTCGGACAATGGAAGTGGCTGCTGCTGTCTAGGGAAGATGCACCCACCCTCTCTAGTGCTGAGATGTAGGAATGCCAGAGGGAGTAATAGGAACTTAACTTGGGCTACAAATCCCACTCATGGATGTTAGGAAAGCTACATATGTATAAATATTTATAGACAAAGTTAGGTCACAGAAAGACACCTCTTTTTGTGTGGCAAGAAACTAAATAAAAAATGGTAAGTCTAGGTAGAATATAACTAATTCTACATACCTGCTGACACAAATGAATCACTTGTGGATGAAAAGGAGCTTGATTTCTTTATTTGATATGCTACTAACAGGAATTACTTGGGGTTCCAACCCCTTGATAGCTCCCCCCACCCAGGGTCTGGGAGAATCTACAACCAGCTGATAAATCTAATCTTAAAGACCGTGAATCAATCTATGTACCTATGCTCTTTCCTTCATCAGCTTTATTCCTCTGCCACCATAATTCTGCTCCATCCTCTTGGGGATCTGGTCTATATCTCACCAAAACAGCAACATTTATTTTGTTGTTTTTGGTTTTTTGAGACAGGGTTTCCTCTGTGTAGATTTGTGTCTTCCCTGGAACTCATCCTGTAGCTCAGGCTGGCCTCAAGCTCACAGAGATCTGCCTGCCTCTGCCTTCTGAGTGCTGGGATTAAAGGCTTGCACTATTACTGCCCAGAGACAGCAACATTCTTTTGTTTACAATACAATACAAGACTTGCAAGGTCCTCACAAGAGCCTTCCTGGTCAACTTCATTTGCAATCCAAAGGGGGTGTGAATAGAGGTGGAGTCACATAAGGGCTGGAATAAATCAGAAAAGGAATTTTTGTGCTGGAAATATATTCTTATAAGTGGTTAGGTGAAACATTACAAGTCCATCAAAAATGTGCTCAAACTACAATCTTACAGGTGGTTAGGAAAAGAAGTCTATAAGTCACTAGAATAAAACTGCCTTATTTTTCTATGCCATTTTTGGCAGGGCAGGGGAAGAGTGCTCAATGGCTAGGTAGCTTGTCACACAGTTTCAGGCACCTAGTAAGAAGAAACCCTTTTTGTTCTAAGAAGTTGTTCTAGGGCTGTGAGATGAGGGGAGATCAGAGCTTGATTTGCACAAGAAAGAAAGCTATGAACCTAGACACAGGTGCTTGGCCTTGGAGACAGGCTGTGTCTGCATAACCTTAATTTTACCTTAATTCAGGGGCCTCAGGCACCTAACAGGCATTCTGGCTGGCTATTCTGTCTGTTGCTTGCCCTTTGATGCTTTCTTTGGAGCTGGCCCTATCTTTGGATGCTAGCTAAGGGGATATTTGCAGAAGGCAGATATCTAATTCAAATTCTAAAAAGGAAGCTGGGAACCTGGAGGCAGAAAGCCTTGTCTATGTGACCTTATCCAAGTACTTTAAACATATATGCCCAAGAAATGCTCCATTCACACTATCATAAGTTCTTGGGGAAATTATGAGGGCACAAAAAATTCATAGGAGGAAACAGCTGATATATTATAAGCTGCATAACACCAAATATTACTTGATTTTTGGCCTCCTCCAGAAGGATTCCTTGATCCTTCACGATATATAGCTTTATCATATGCAGTTGAGTGTCTATTTCATATTGCTGTGGCCCATAGCATGCTATAAATGAAACAAAGTTCTATATTGTTTCAGTACGCATTTTGAACAAAAGCTGTTAAGTTTCACATTATATTTAACACTTTTTTGTAGTAAATATATTTTTTGTGGTTATCCACCACCCAAACCAAAATTTCCCTGACATAATCAGAACTAGAAAAACAATCAGCCTTATATTCTTTTTCATTAATCATATCCACTACCTGCATTCAGTCTACCCTTGTTCCCTTAAATTCTCCTTTATTATTTTCTTTTCTTCATGTTTCTTCTAAATCTGTCTATTTTCCTTCATCTTTTTCTTTTAAACTTCATTTTTCTTTAGAGATAAATAGTATTTGTATGTGTTTTTATGTGTGTGTGTGTTTACATGTGTGTTACCAAAATATACCTCTTCATTTTTAATCACAGACCAAACAAGTAATCTGTTTTTTGCCATTCTTCTGTGAGATAATTAACGCATTATTATTTCTGTTTATTTTTGTAAGAAGGTCAAAGATTTCTTCAGGATGGTGAAAACTTTTACAGATGATCAAAGAATATCCATTTCACATTGAGAAAGCAGAGGCTGTGTTTGTGTGTTCAGACAGTGGTCTGGTGAGTAGCAGAATCCAGCTGGACTCTGAGGTCTCTACACTATGGTAATTAAGGACCCTTTGGCTAATAGGGGGCACTGTGGGCCTATGATATGAAACCACTTCCACTTACTCAAAGAAGCTGGCCTTTAGGGCTTACCCAGTGTTCACTGAGGAAACTCAGCAGTGGAATCATTATGTCCTGTCAGAATTCAGGGATAAAGGGGCTCTGTCTTAGTTAGTGATTCCACTCAGACACTCCCACTACTGAAAGCCTATCTCTGCTTCAGGCTGTCATGCAAGCTGAACCCTAGCAGAAGGGCTCGCAAACAGTCTTGGCAGCCACATTGGAAACATATCTGAAGGAACAACCACTTCTTGAAGAGGTTGGAAAGGAGGCTTGGGGCAACCTAGACTCTGTGGGATCTAGCCAATAATATATGTATTTATATTTAAAAAAACATATGGGTAGGTAATAACATGAAGAAAAGAAAATAATAAAGGAGAATTTAAGGGAACAAGGGTAGACTGAATGCAGGTAGTGGATATGATCACATGTCCACTTATTTTCTCTTGCACTGTTTCTTTCTCACTACTGAGTTAGAGACAGGCCTAAGAGCTCTGTCACCCTGACTATATCTGCCTCTTAAGCACAGATCACTCCAACACTTTCCCACAGCACCTCACCTATCATGATGGTATCTTTTACTGTAAGCAACCTTTCCTAGTCCACCCTCTGCCTCTCTGCTAACTTTGCTGACTATCTTGAATTTGAGCATGAACACCAGTTCCACTGTCTCTAGCACAAAGTGATGCAAATAAAACAAAATAAAAAGTCAGGCATCCATCCCTCATATCTCCTTGGCTATCCCTCTGTGTCAACTAAGAAGGAGTTCTTTAAGAAATATTAAATTCTCAAATTTCATGTCAAATATTATAAAACTAACCTCCCCCCCTCATCTCCCATCACTACTGAAACTTTCTTTCTCAATCCATCAATGTCCCTTTCTACATGCCCACTTCTCCTCAAGGTTTAGAAGTGTTTGCCCAGCCAGATGTAACCAACTTCATTTTTGTCTAAATATCATCAACAAGAAAAATGTTAATGTATATTTATCCAGGAACTTACACTGTCTTCTTCAGCTCCTGGGTGGCTAACAAGCTCTCCTGGGATGTCTCCATGCATGCTATTCCTGCCTGTCACATTCATCAGAGAAATGTATCAGTGATGGCTCCACTAGAACACATCACCATGCTCCCTATTGTTTTCCTTTATGTGTCTGAAATATAAGGTGAAGAAAACACAGCAGAACTGATATACTGAATAATTGTGAAAAATGATAGTTGTTCGGTGATTTAAAGATGAGTACTGAGTCTCTTTCTGGAGTTTCTGCAGGCCAGGTGCCTACATGTGGTAACCCTAATGGATGAGGGACTCAGTGACATCACTTTTTGTGAGGAATCAGCAACTGTTCTACTGTGGACCTGAAAGAGGTCTTCCCACATAGTCATGTATGTGTTACCACCTGTTTTATATTCTGTGGGAAAAAGTAATTCACTTCACCTGCTTTGCTACATCAGGAATTCACACTGAGAATCAACCACTAGGAGGAGTTAATGAGAACTCATTTGCATGACTAACCCCTCTTCTACAATGAGGTCCCTGGAGATGAGATACTGAGACAGCCCAGAGAGAAGACCCAGGTCTAAGGAGAAGCTGTGCTGTGCCTACCATGGCTTGGACTCCTCTCACCTTCATAATTCTATCTTACTGTACAGGTAGGAACAGGCCTAAGAGTAGTGGGGAGGACTCCTAAACTCAGTGAGTCCCTTCTGCTTCAGATCCCTGAGAATTTGCACCTTAGATCTGTTGTTCACTGTGGTATTTTCTTTTGCAGGTTCCTTTTCTCAGTCTATACTGACACAACCAACCTCTATCTCTGAGGCTCTTAGATCAACAGCCAGACTCACCTGCACTCTGAAGAGTGGCATCAATGTTGGTAGTAAAAACATTTACTGGTACAAGCAGATGCAGGGGAGCTCTCCCCAGCTTTTTCTGTACTACTACTCAGACTCAGACAAGAAGCTGGGGCCTGGAGTCACCGATAGAGTCTCTGGATCCAAAGATACCTCCAAAAATGCTGCAAATTTGCACATCTCTGAGCTACAAGCAGATGATGAGGCTAACTATTACTGTGCCATATGGGAAAATGATGTGTCTCACAGTGATACAAGCAGATGGGGAAGTAGGCATAAACTGTAGCTTGTGACAAAAAATTCAGTTCTGCTTTTGTTACCTTGTAATATTCATGCACTATTAATGTAGTGATAATGAAAAAGTTCCCTCAAAAAACTTCTTCTATATTTTCATCAAATAATAGAGACAAAAATATCAAACTTCCAAAGAAAAACCTCAGACATACACTATTCTTGACAACAAATGCTGGTGAAGATGAAGGGGAAGGGGAACCTTCATCCAGTGTTGATGGGGTTGTAAAGTGGTGGAGCCACTCTTGGAATCAGTGTTGAAATTTCTCAAAAGGCTCAAATTAGACATATTCAATGATTGATCTGTGTCTTTCCTGGGCATTTGCTGAAAAGACTTGCTGTCCCACTACAGATGTACTTGAACAACCATGTCCATGACCATTCTATTCACAGCAGCTAATAAATGGGAGCAGCCTAGCTATCATTCAACTGGTTAATGAATCATGAGCATGTGCCAGAAGTATATAAATCTTTTCAGCTGTAAAGAAAAATGAAATCTGCAAACAAATCAATGAAACTTGATACAATTATACTTAGTGATGTACTGAGGTCCAGAAAGACAAATGTCTTAAGTTTCTTCCTATTTGTAGATCCTAGAACCAAGTCTTCTTGTATGTGTAATCTGAGTCATCATAGAATCCAGGAAAGTAGAAAGGAGACCTTGTGGAAACATAGCTTTAGAAGGGGAAATAGCAGGACACAGGTGCTGTGAAGGTAAAAATATAATTAGGGGGACTTGACCTGGGAGAGAAAGGGTCTACTGTATAGACATAGGGAAGAAGAGGGAGGTATTTCATAGTGAGAGAGAAGGAAGAGGAGAGTAATGCATGAAGAGAGGGAAAGGGGCAAAAATAACAGTAAAGATGTTTGAGAATCATAGCAAACCCATTATTTTATATTCTTATTTAAAAATATAGACATTTATGTTGCTTCATTGAAGTTGCTTCACATATTGGGATAATGCTGCCCTGGACCTGTAGATTAGCTAAAACCACACAGTGGCAAGCATGAAAAACATCTGCTTGATTTGTTTTTGAGTGTGGTCCAAGAGACCTTCAAAACAATAGGAGCTAATGCCATTGCTTTGGTTGCCTGCTAGAACATCAGGGTGAGATGCTATTGCTGAGGATACTATACCCTATGGTCAACACAGTGTCATTGATCTGGAACCTGCCTCCCTTAGGGTTAGCGTTCACAATTTTGAATGTACCCAGATGAAAATGTTGGAAACAACACAAAAGGAATAGCAAGACACCCCAACAGTGCCATAGAAACACATGCATCTCAAGGACAGCCAACACCTACCCAATTGGACACAAAATCAACCACATGGAACAGACACATTGCACTATAAACCTAGCCAAGACTCCATGGCTGGACAGATCATGGGCCCTAAGGGAAAACTGCTGCTACCTACCAATTACTAGAGTTTTGTCTGCTTGTGTGGTTGTTATGGCTTCCTCAATAGAGTAAGTCTGGCTTCATGGAGGGAGTTTGAAAGTGTTCCTTAGATTTCCATATTTTTCTGATACATTAAGAAGTATAGGTTGTAGTCTTTTTAAAAACCTTTAAAATTCTGGTGTTGTTCTAACCACATCCAAGGATTTTAGAGTTGTAAAATTTTTTGGTGCTGTTTTACTCTCTTTATTTTGAAACACTTATTTAAATATGGATACCTTCTTGATTCATTTATATCTAAAATTTTACCCATTTCTACTAGGTTTTCCAGTTTAATAGAGTTCAGATCTCTTTTCTTTAACCTTGCATTTTTTATAAAAATTATTTCAAGGTTATAATTATATAAATTTCCCTTTCTTTTTCCTCTTCCCAAGCCCTTCTATATATCTGCCCTTGCTTTTTTTCAAGCTATGGCCTCTTTTCTCATTGTTATATACATACATGTGTATACATATGTACTCCTATGTACATAGATACTACCTGGTCAGTCTACATAACATTACTTGTATGTATGTTTGCAAAGTTGGTCATTTGATATTAATTAGCCAATTAGTGCATTCTTCTATGGGAAAGACTATTTTTCCAACTCTCAGCATTCTTGGGTTGACTTATTTCTTTATTTGGATGTGAAGCCTTGGGCTATCCCAAGTCCAGACTTGTTAGTGAGACTTTATGGGAATGACTTCTGATATTACTAGGAGACACAATCTAGCAGCAAACTCTCTAATTATTTGGCTTTCACAATCTTTCCACTGTCTCTTACTCAATGCTCCCTGAGATGCTGGAGTGTTTTTTAGATGTATTCATTAGGACTGGACTCCACAACTCTGTGGTTTGATTGATTTTGGTTTTCTGTAGTGGTCTCCATGTGTTACAAAGAGAAGTTTCCTTGATGAGGGGTGTAAATTACACTTATCTCTGCATACAAATACATGTTTATAGATGGATTGTTGTTACAGATTATGCTGGTGTAATAAGTTAGTCATTGTAGTAATCATCTAATAACCATGATTTCTCTAGCCCTGAGTACTTAACTAGGTATGTATGGTATGGTATCCTTATTATTGTGTGGGCCTTAATTCCAGTTAGAGAGCTGGTATTTAATACCAAGGTATGTGTGTCAGTACTGCATCCTTAGGGTTACCTTACCATGCCAGACATTGTTATGATTTATAGGCAGAATAGCTGTAGGACTGTTGGTTGTCTCCTCCCTTGGAAGCTTGCAGGAAACTGTCTGGTACCATGGAAGTTCAGCTTTAAGAAAGGAATGTTCAGGTAAGTCTGGTTAATGGGTCTCACAGACGTGTTTCTGAAGTGTGTAGTAACTTCAACAATAATGACTTACCACTCCTGGAGGTAACAAAGGGCAAACTCAATAGGTTGTATGTTTTAGGAGTCTCTTGACAGTTCTGGCCACCGACTCCAAAGAAGGATTCTCATAGCTGGAATTTGAGTTTTATTTAGGTGGTCTTTGATTGTTGGAGGAGCACAGTCTGCCATGATGATTAAAATTTAAAAACTGTATGTGTATTTATACACTAACTTACATGTATTAGATTATTTTACTTGAATAGTTAATAATGAGTCTTTGTGACTTTTCCAAACATCCTAATTGTTGTTTTTTCAACCTCTATTCTTCTCCTCTATTTACCTTGCTCCTCTTCCCTAAGAAGGCCCAGGTTTCCCATTTCTCCTATCAGATCAGTTGTCTTCTGCTATTTCCCTTTGCCCTCCTCCAACTGTTTTTATCTCTCTCTCCCTTCCAAAGGAGCTGCCTTTTCCCATTTCTCTCTGATCACTTTTGCTCTACCATGGCCCTCTCTGTTGCTCCACAACCACCACCACTACAAATTGTGGCATTAGTGCTATTTTTTTCAGAATATGTTACTCACATGTGAAGATTTTGAGCCAGGGGCTCCTAGTAAGCTAGAGCACTTGGTATTTATCTTTCTAAGCCTGGGTTTCCTCACTCAATGTGATATTTTCTTGTTCCATCCATTTACCTTCAAATTACATGATGCAATTTTTCTTTATGCATAAATAGTATTCCACAGAGCACACATTGTCCTCATATCTTTCTCAATTGTAAGACATTTGTTGTTTTCATTTCCTAGCTATTGTGAATAGAACAGCAATGAACATGGCTGAGCAATAATCTGTGGAGCAGAATATTGACTCCTTTGGGCACCTAGCATGGAGCAATATAGCTGGATCATATGGTATTTTTCTTTTAAACTTTTTGAGGATTCTCCACACTGACTTCCACAGTGTCAGCACCCATTTGTAATCACACCAGCAATGAATGTGTATATATTTCTTATCATTACTGTCTTTTACTCTCTATATTAGTTTGGCCCATTAAGTAGTATATACAGCATTTGACCACTTTTCATTCAAAGTTCCAAAGTTTTCCATATTGTTTAAAACAAAATAAAGCAAAGCAAGGCAACAACCAATCAACCAGACTGACCAAACTATATATATAAAATCATTGGCCTGTCAGCAGCTATAAATAGCCTACTACCTAGTACTAACTTCTGTATTACTTATGTTTCCTTGGCTGTGATGGACAACATGACCAAAGTAATAGAAGAAAGAACTGGTGGCAGCTGAGTTGGCTTAAGAAGGCCTTGCTGGAGATGACTGCCCTCACTGGTGGAAGTCCATGAACTATAGACTAGGTGCTGTGGAGCCCTCATGGGCCTGGACTAGGCCCTCTGGATATGGAAGATGGTTATTTGGCTCGAACTGTTTGCTGGGCACCCAGACAACTGTATCGGGATCTGTCCCTGGTGTATGGGCAGGCTTTTGAGAGCCCAGTGCCAGTGGTGTGAGCCCTTCCACAGCCTTGGTGCAGTGGGGAGGGGCTTGGACCTGCCTAGGATCAGTGTGTCAAACTCTGCTGACTCCCCATGGAAAGACTTTTATTTGGGGGATGTGGGGATGTGGGTTGGCTTGGGAGGAAGGGTTAGGGATGGGAGGAGGGAGGAGATGGGATCTTTGGGTGGTATGCAGAGTGAGTAGACAATTTCTCAGTAAAGAAAAATGAAAAAAGAAGGCCTTGCTGATTAGGCCTAGACCCCCTTCCCATGCCATTTCAGATTTCTGAATGAGAGCTGCATGGTCTTGTAGGTGATGGAGGGAGCCAGAGGCATGGAGGAGCAGAGAGAGAGACCTCCTTCAAATGATTGAATATAAACTCTTTGTAGCTAGAGATGGTAGCATAGGCAAGATTTTCCTGATGATACAGCTAATTTAGAATCACTTTGTGAACTAATATGGTGCTACAATAGAGTATTGTTACCAGGAGAAAGTAGAAATTGGTGGAGAAACCTGTCTCTTGGTTACTCTTGAAACAGCAGGTCAAGAAGAGTACAATGTAATCAGAGACCAGTATATGAGGACCAGAAGGCTTTCTTTGTGTATTTGCTATGAATAAAACTAAATCATTTGAAGATATTTTCTATTACAGAGAAAAAAATTTAAAAAGTGAAAGACAATGAGGATGTGCCTATAGTCCCATTACTGAATAAATGG